AGACTTCCCCTTCCCCTTCAGCTGGCTCAGCGGCTACCTGGCCATCCTGGTGGGCGCCGGCCTGACCTTCGTGCTCCAGAGCAGCAGTGTCTTCACGGCGGCCGTTGTGCCGCTCATGGGTGAGTGCAGCGGGCGGGCCCTGGGCTCTGGGCTGTAGGCGCGAGGGCTCAGGCCCGGCGGTGACCCCCCCTCCCCCCCCCTCGGTTCCCCCAGGGGTCGGGGTGATCAGCCTGGAGCGCGCATACCCCCTCTTCCTGGGCTCCAACATCGGCACGACCACCACAGCCCTGCTGGCCGCCCTGGCCAGTCCCGCGGACATGCTGCTCAGCGCCCTCCAGGTACCACCCTCGCCCCCCTCCCCGGCCCCCTCGGAATCCAGGCCTGGGGCTTCCCCCTTGGACTCAGCTCCCTCCTGTCCAACCCCGCGGCCAGGCTGGCCACGGCCCAAGCTCTCCTGGGACCCATCTCCGGCTGCTGGGTCGGACCCACAGCCCCACCTCCTCAAACCCTAGGGATCCTGTGGACGTCCCTCCGAGCCCCAGCCCCGCTCTTGCTCCCCTGGGCCCACGTCATTTCAAGGGTCATGTGGTCTTGGGTGCCTTCTCCTCCTTTCTGGCAGCCCCTGCCCAGCCTCCCTCGAGGAATCCCCGTGCTCCACTCCCAACCCTGTGCTGCTGGCTGTGCTCCTTCAAGGCATCCTGGTCCTGGGGGGCCTTAAGCCCCTCTATTGCACCTCCTCTGGGATGCACCCCCCTCCCCTACCATCTAAACCCGACAACATGCCCTCTTTCTGCCAAAACCCCGCCTCACCTGTGCCGGGTGCTCCAAGTTGTTGTTGCACACGACCGCAATTCTGACTCCAGGATGCCTCCCTCTAGTCCCCTAGCTCTGTGCCCCACACCCAGTCACATTTAGTCCTGCCGACTCCGTCTCTAAGTCACCCCTTCGTTGGCCCACTGCCCTGGCTCGAGTTTCCGTCCACCACTGGCTCTGCCCCAATGCCCAGACAGGCGCAGCTCCTGAAAGCCCAGACAGATCTTCTGCCCACCAGGACACGAGCCCCAGCCCTCCCCGCCATCCACCTGCATTTTTGCCTCTGCTCTGTCCACTCGGATCCTCTCGGTGCAGGGCCCTGGTCCACCCCCTCCAGGAAGCCCTCCAGACTGCACCTTTCACACCGACTCCTCAAGTCCAGCAGCCCCTGGAGGGGACTATGTTCCCTGCACGTGTGGCCCTGCACCTCCTCCCCACAGGAGCCAGGCCAGAGGCCAGACCCATGTGGTCATTGGTGGCGTAGTCACCACACTGGGATGCTGGACTGGGCTCCCTAAGTGTGTGTGGGGGAGAGGAGGCGAACCTGAGGAGTGCACCCACACCTGGCCGGAATCTGTCCCCCTGGGTGGCCCTTCCGGGCCAACAAGTGGACCTCTATCGGGCTCTGGACTTAGTACCCTTTAGGTTGGGGGTGGTGAGCAGGAGGAGCAGGTGTCCTGGGTAGCCTAGGGGGACCTGTGTGCCAGGCCCAGGCTCCCAGCCCCTGCCTGCCCCCGGACCTCTAGGTTGCCCTCATCCACTTCTTTTTCAATCTGGCTGGCATCCTGCTGTGGTACGTGGTGCCTGTCCTGCGGCTGCCCATCCCGCTGGCCAAACGCTTCGGGGACGTGACCGCCAAATACCGCTGGGTGGCCATCGCCTATCTGCTGCTCAGCTTCCTGCTGCTGCCGCTGGCCGCCTTCGGGCTCTCCCTGGCAGGGAGCACAGTGCTGGCTGCAGTCGGAGGACCCCTGGTGGGGCTGGTACTCCTCGTCATCCTGGTCAATGTCCTGCAGCGGCACCGGCCAGCCTGGCTGCCACGCCGTCTGCGGTCCTGGGCCTGGCTCCCGCTCTGGCTCCATTCTCTGGAGCCCTGGGACCGCCTGGTGGGCCGCTGCTGCCCCTGCAGGGTCTGCAGCCCCGCTCCGGCCGCTGCCAAGGAGGCCCACTGCTACGAGAACCCTGAGGTCCTGGCCTCCCAGCAGCTGTGAAGGGTGGGCACCCCCACTTCGTGGACTTCTGGGTGCCCTGGGGGACCCTAGTAGCAGAAGACTTCCGAGTCACCTAGCTTGGCTTCTTTCCAAATAAACAAGGCTATAAACCAGGTGTGAGTGGTCTTCACTCCCCCGCCGGGGGACGGCCCCTGAGCTGGCTCCCGGGGGACATGGAGGTGGACAAGCGCCAGCTGTCCCCCGGCCGACACTCGGGACCCACTGCAAGTCCGTGTGGGTGTGGGCATGCAGCTGGCCCCCGAACCCCAGGCCGTAGCCGTTTCTCTCCCGAGCCTCCAGGGAAAGAAAGGGCCAAGCGGCTGCTACTCGGGAGGTGGACACATCCCTCAGCAAGAACCTGTGCTCTGAGGAGGCTGGACGTGTCCGGGGCCCTTCCCCACGGGTGCAGCCGTCTCCCATTCCCCCCCGCCCGCAGAGGACGTGGCCTGGGAGCCAGGCGTGGGCAACCTCTCCGAGGGCCAGCCCCATGGGTCCCGCAGACGCACAGGGAGCGAGGAGGGCAGTGTGAGGACCAGGAGGCCCCAGGCTGCCCCTGTCCGTCTCTCTCAGATGGGTGGGGTGCAGGGCAGTGTCCGGGTGAGACACAGGGCTGTCTTGGGCCCAGCGGAGCAGGCACTCAGCACCCCCCAGGAAGCAGGTCCTGCCCCTAGAGCCACCTGCACCTGGAGCCCATGCCTCCCCAAGCCCCTCGGCTGTGAGGTGGGCGAAGTTCAGGTGAGGGGGTGAGGCTGAGCGATGTCCACCCACCTGAGGGTGCACCCCCCACCCGGGCTCCGGCTTGCCCCTGCCCCTCCCTGCGGCAGGGGCGTGGCCCACTTCCACCCTGTAAGGCTGGTCTGCCTGCCAGCCAGTAAGCTGACTCCAGGGAGTCAGGGCCTCCCTGCTCCCATCCCAGGGCTTCCTACAGCACCTCTCTCACCTCCCCACCCCCGCCCAAAACAACGAAAGCTTCTTAGGTAGAATTACATCTGTTGCCCAGAACTCACGCACCGAGGGGCACATGCCCACCTCCATCAGAAGTGGAGATGACCCTGGGCAGGGGTCTGGGTTGCCCAGTTCTTAGTATGCTGCTGTGGTCATCACCTCCTCCTTGTCCAGGGAATGCTGCCCGCTGGGGGAGGCACCTCTTTCCCAGGCCCTCTGGGTCTGCCTACCGGGACCCAGTGTGGGAAGAGGTCTGAATGGCCAGGAAGAGGAGGCCTGAGGAGTCCCGGGTCACTTCTTGCCCTTGGTCCCGCCTTTCCACTCCCCCTCAGAACTCCCAGCCCTCCCCATGTCCTCTCAGCTCTCGGTCCCCTCACTCCCCATGTCCCCTGCCCCCCCCCCCCAAGATCCCAGGCCTCCTAAGCCTGAGGTTCACTGCCCACTGAGGGAGGTAGGGAGGTAGCTACTTGTTCTGGGGCTCATGGGATCAAGACCCCCGCAGCAGGCTCATCCACGACAGCTTGGTTCCCTCCGATTTCAGTGACCTCAGGACGCTCCTGGTGGTGGACATCAGCCTCAAGGTTCCTCTGATGAAAGTTCCCAGAGGTGGGGCTGGGCCTGGCTAGTTCCCTGGGGAGATTGGGGGTGGTGGTGGTGGTGGTGGTGGAAGCTTTCTGTCCCCACTGTGGGGACACAGAGAGAGGGGAAGAAAGTACCCCATGCATCCCTCCTTCCGGGGCGGGTGAGGCCGCCCACAAAGGCTGACTGCAGGTCCTTTGAGGCCGTGAAGGACTGTCTGCCTGCTGCCCCTGCCTGGCGGTAACGCACCCTCCCGCTGGGACCATGGCCACGAGTAAACAGAGCCTTCGTTTGTGGATGCCTCCAACAGCTGCAGGCTGGGGCAGGAGGGGCAGGCGCCCAGCACTCCCACGGCCCCTGCCCAGGCTTCCTAGCACGTCTGGCCCTCTCTGCCCTGCATGGCTCCCGGTCACAGACCCCCACGGGGCCCAGGCCCCCGGGGCTGGCCCTGCTGCCCCATTAAGGCCCATCTCTGCACACTGTGGCAGGAACTGCTTTGGCTCAGGGTGGGGATCTGCAGGGCCTCCGCCAGCCAGCCCAGTGCAGCAGCAGCCACCTTGGTTCTTGGGCTCAAGCCTGAGAGCCACAGGGAGACTCGTGCTGTCTTGTTCCCAGTGTCCATCTCACGGGGACAATGGGAAGGGCGAGGTGGACAAGCTGGTGTCTCAGAGCTCGGAGGCTCACACCTGGGCAGAAACACAGCCTCTGTTCCATCACCCATATGAAGCGGAGGTGCCACACTGAACTGTGGGCACGGGCCTTTTCCAGAAAGTGGGGGTGTCAGGCCATACACCCTGGGGGAGGGCGATGAGAAGAGAAGGCTTTGACAGACATCTCAAAGAGCAACCTCCCCAGGGCTTCGTACCACCCGCTGGCTCATGGTGGGGGGGGGGGGGGGGGGACATCTGAGCTTCTCTCTTTCTCACCCGATTTGTGGGTTTATGACTGCCACAGAGCCGGGCCTTGCCGACTGCTGCTTGGGCAGCTGAGTTACTTTGCAGGGCACTGTGAGGAAACCGGGATGCCAGGCAGTGACCTCGTGCACAGCACCTGCTGGGGGGAGGGAGACCCGTGAGCAACAGAAGCTAGGTCCACCTTCCCGGCAGGTATGTGGGGGAGGGGGCTGGTTCCCCAGGCCCCGCTGGGACTGACTGCTGACTCACCCTCCAGGTCAGGACCGCAATCCGGAGGAGCCCAGCTGCAGACCGCTCTCCAGGGGATGAAAATGCTAACCTCTGTGCCAGCATGCTGCTTGTCTCAACAATTTCATCCACAGTTCAGTTTCGGACGTCGCATTCCATAATATGTTAAGGTCGCACGTATGCCATAGTAACGCGGTATCGCATACCGTAGGGTGTTATGCAAAGAGAGTGCGTTCTCCTTACAGAAAATAACCAGGTATTGCCCCCCAACACCTCTGGGTCGGGAGACAAAGGAAGCAGGAAGTTCCCTGAGAAAACCAGAATCTAATCGCTTCTCGGCCTTTTGGCTAAGATCAAGTGTAGAAAACCAGAATCTAGGGAGGCTCCAGTGGCCACAGCAAGGGAGACAGTTCAAGGCTGACCAAAGGGTGTGATTCAGTTGTTCTAAAATGTTACAAAAACGTACGCAAATGCAGTTTTTAAAACGACTGATTAAAAATGCGACCATAAGTAATTTAACTGTTTTTCCTTCACAAACTACAGAAAAAGTAAACGCATTTGTCAAGCCCAGGTATGGGGGGGGGG